ATGTGGCATACCTACATAGTTTTTGTTCAACCACAGATATTACTTGAAACATCCTAATTTGTCTCGTCTATATTTATTGTATTTATGACAGATTGTGTTCAGATTTCGTAGCTTTCTGAAAGTGGTCACGATGGCAAAGCTTCAAACAGTGTATTCCTTACTCGTAGTGTTGGCGATGTTTATACGTGCTATATACTTGGTAAGTGACTAATGATTCTTAGGAACTCTTCTTTTTGTGTTATACTTTGTATTGGTGATACGTATATCAATATTGTTTCAGGCTGAACCACCTGAGAATGCACAAACGTCTAAGACTAAAGAAGAAATCGAAGCAAAACGTGGATGTGAGTACAAATACATTTCATGATTGATGATGTTACTCATTGCAAGTCAAATATAATAATTGTTTCCATTGACAAATCTAGTTTACTTGATATACTTATTTAAATAATATGCTCCAATATACAAGCTTAAGTTTACGGGAGTGTGCTTGTTTCATAGTTGAAGACGTATCGTGTACTGACACCTGCTATCTCTCTAATGATGGTATATGTGATGATGGTGGTGAAGGATCTCAGTACAGTTATTGTGCCTATGGCACAGATTGTGCAGACTGTGGAATAAGACCTATTACTTGTAAGTCCAAAATATATGATTATCGCTCATTCATAGTAATTATCAAAAATATACAATTTTATAACACTTACAAACAGATCATGTGCCAGTTGAAATAATTATTACTGTGAGTGTACAAATCTTACAATAACGATAGTCATTATTCTACTGTAACTTTTTCTTGTATAGTATGCAATAACGAATGCCGGTACCATGGTGATGGTGATTGTGACGACGGGGGTGATGGGTCCTCATACAGTATATGTGAATTAGGTACAGACTGCGATGACTGTGGACCAAGACACCTATAAGTAAGTAGTTCACATTCAATGTGTCATCCGTTGCTGTGTATAAGATTGTTATAGTGTATATTGTTTCCCCTCAATTGCAATATGTGTTCAGTAACACAGAGATTTGTGGCAAGTTAGTTTAGAATTGTTTTATTTACTGTTGTGTTAAATAAGTGAATACGATTTGGATAATAAAATCATGCTATTGTTCTGTCACAGCTGTTATGATATTTCATGCTTGGTACAAGTCCAGTTTAACAACAACAGACATGAATGGATTTGACTAAATTAATATTAATGTATATTGTTTTGAAAGCTTGTGAAACTTCTTGTTGAAATATGACATCTCGCCCTTTAATAATATACCCTGCATAATATTTTGTTTTTTTGTTTTGTAGTTGAAAGTTGGATCAGCAAAACGGTCAGCAAAGGAATCGAAAAAATTGAATGTAGGAGAAAAAGCATGATATAAAAAAAGATAAAAATCCGTTAAATGTTGATAATATATTCGCATGTTAAAGTAGTTTAGTTGGAATAAGGGAATAAAGTTCATCATTAAAAAAATATATATAAATAGTATTGTTATAATTGTATGTGTAATAATTAATCTCAAACTACAACAGATCACTTCCTGTGACTGAAGTAAATGAGAATGTTACAGTCAATAAAATGATGGCAAGTGAATTATGCGTGTTATTTCGTGGTTATTCTTGATGACATATTAAATTTAAATTAAAGTAATTTAAATATACACGCCGTTTTCACTAACTCGATAGGTTTCAGGCTATAACTGATAGTTTGGCTGATACATGGTAAAATGATGTGCATATTTTATAAAATAGGTGCGTTTTAATGGTGTGTGTTTCAAATGTGTTTATTCTATTTTGAAACGATGTGCGTGTTTTAAAATGGCGTGATTATATTTTTAAATCGCGTGTGTGTTCCAAAATGGCCTGGTTTTATAAATATGTTACGTGTATGATTGTTAGCTTTGTATGCATGTTAAAATAACGTGCGTATTAAAAAGATATGTGCATTTTAACGTGACGTGTCTATTATACATATGTTGTGTGTGTTTGATTGATATGAGTATTCAGAAACGGTGTGTACCTTTTTATTAAATGGTGTGTAATTTAAAAGTTGTGTATTGCATCAGAATGAAAAAAGTCGATTGTGAGAACAAACGCGTACACTAATCTATTTACCCCTATGGATTATCTTTGATTTTTTGTGTGTGTGTGTGTGTGTGTGTGTGTGGGTGTGTGTGTGTGTGTATGTGTGTATGTGTGTGTGGGTGTGTGTGTGTGTGTGTGTGTGTGTGTGTGTGTGTGTGTGTGTGTGCGTGTGTGTGCGTGTGTGTGTGTGTGCGACTTTAATTTAGCTTTACATCGACTGGTGACGACAGGACCTACATTGTGATGACCCTCACTATTTTCATAATTTATATTAATAGTTAATCAGCCCAAGCGCAGAAAAACTGAGTTCGCTAAATTGATGATACACGAATGAACAATTTCACAAGTTTGATTTCTGTATTGCAATTTAGGCATCTTGCCGGTAATACCGGAGCATAAACACAGGACATCCCCCAGATGGAGTAGCGACTGAATCATCCCCTGCATGTAAATAATGATTTCTAGTTCAATCGTCATATTATAATTTTTATAATCTTCAATACACTTTGGAACCTACTTTGGGAAATAATTGTTCAATGGCATGGATTCATTAATTTTAAAAATATAAGCAAACAGATATTTGAATTTAAGTCCTTTCTGAAATTCTTACACAGTTTCAGGCCGACTTCATGAATTTATGAAGAAATTCGATTTTTTATACTGTTTTTATGGTGAGATTATTTCTCAGTAACATTTAGAATTGTTTCTGCAATAGCACTCAAAATATGCAAATTGTGCACTTATGCTCAATGCTCAGACACATGGTCATCTAATAGGTTGGTCATATATTTTTTCAATGCAGCAACAGTTACATGTCCGTATCTTTAATAGTGCTTGAGATATTGGAGACATGTATATGTAATGAGTTTCATAACCATATATAACCATTGAACATGTTGACCAATTCTCTTGTTCAATGCCTTCAATATAGCTTTGGTTTCACATCTCTATTTTCAATAGTGCTCGAGATATTACAGATATGCACAATTGATTAGTTATATGACCATATATTGTCATACAATATGTAGACTATTTTCTTGGCCAATATATAGCTTTGGTTCAATGTTTGTATAAGTAATAGATATACCTATGTTAAAACACTGTGAATTCAATATGCATTGTAAGCCAAGTCATTTTTAAATACACACATATTTTTGAATACACATATCATGTCTTCTCTTAATCCACTGGTCGCATTTTCATGAAATTTGGGAAGTCGGTAGTTTGTGTGATGTTGCATTTCAAAAGTTTGATATTATGAAAATTATGCAAATGCGATGCAAAGCATTTTCAAAATATTCCCAAAAAATATTCACGTCAAAAGTCACGTCACCACTAAAGATTGTAATTTTGATATCAATAGATCATATGCATACAAATTTCAGAATGCTCAGACGGCATATGTATGTGCAATTCAGCACGGAAATATTCGTCTTAAGGACTGGTATAGATGCAGGTTCGCGGGCACTTTTTTTTTATTATCCAAACAGTCTTGTCTATATACTGTTAAAATTTCGCAGCATTGTGAATAGTGATACGTACTCACTTGTGTTTTCCAGTTCACAAGGGAAGTTCAAATCTAAATAGCTCTGTCAAGGGGTCATTTTCATAATCGGTTCTGGTTTAGTTTGTTTTATTTTAATTAATGATTAGTGTAGTGGTTACAGCTAGACTAGATTATTTTCTTACACATACACTACGTTAATAATACTGTACAAATGGAAATAAAATATGGCTCAGTGGTTCGGACATTTATTAAGTGTAAAGACATTTACCTAATATCTACAACTGGAAAACCAGAAGAGAATTGCCGTGGTTTCATCATGCCAAAGACTGATTACAGTCTATTAATGGGCTGCGAGGGCGTTTTACAGCGACGTCAGTTAATTGGGATCTTATGCATATTCAGACCTATAAAGGTTGTAATTAACGCAGTCCGTGGTCTTTTCAATCTCGTGTTGTGAACACCTCACCTGAATGGAGTCCCGGTCAAGTCTTGAACACTAACCTTGCTGTGGAGTGCTACGAGAACGTTTGCTAAGATATTGTTATCACCTATTCCTGCCTGTATTAACCCTTATTAGCGTGGACTGTTCCAGTGGTCGGCAATGAAAGTCTGAAGAAATCGGTGAGTTTGACACCTTCGCCCATGTTACGAACTATTCGCCACGTGGACAATTTCTAATGACTGTCTCCAGCTGCACTTCTGAAATGTACGTACTCGCATTCCATACTGCAGACACATTAGGTTAGGGTTTTAAAGCTGTCCGTTTCATTTCTTTATTTTCTTTATTTTATGGGTTTATAAAAATTCGTACTTCGTTTGTAGCCAAAGAGAGCATGAACTTTTTATTTGCCGTCTTGACGTCTTAACACCTGATTATAAGGTATACTTCAATATTTCAATGTGCTATTTATTATTTTGCTTCGATGGTGTCGTTGTGCCGGGTCCTCTGGAGTCCTGGTAAGCTCTGCCTTTGATATTTACATAGTACTGGGCTGGCAAGCTCCCAGGGTGTGTCTGGCACAATTTGCCATCTTAGCAATGTGTATACATATGACTATGAATATTGGTTAATTATTTAGTTCATTAAATTATATTGATGCATTCGATAAATGGCCTGTCCTGACTGAACGTATGTGCGAGTGTTATAATCACCCGTCCCCCACTTATATATGGGTATCTTTAATAAAGCAATGACAATCCCTGGTAGAAGTCACTTACTGGTATGATTGATTTATCCTAGTAAAAGAACTCGCAACGTTGTGCGAATTCAGAGTGTAAACATCAGATTACTCACGGTATTTTACTACGACCTATCAGGTCACGGGAGACGTACATTGCATTCTGGAACACTTCGTGACAGTGACTATCCCCGACACTTACATAGCTGATTTTAGGAAAACAGTGAGCACATTCATCTAGTGTTTGATGTGAATTTTGCTGCAATTTTGCAGTGTTGCAGAGGTAATTTATAGCCTACCATGTTTGGAAATGCAAAAATAAAGCTTGTAGCCTGAAAACTACAATAAATATTGCCATTTTACTTGATTCTGAGCATCTCAGATCAAGTGATTAGGTCTGGATGAACCATGACGTGTTACAAGTTTATTATGTGCATACTTCAAGGTGTGTCCTCAAAACCTTTATGTCAATTCACACTCCCACATTTTGCAGTAGTGTTGTAATATATTCTAATCCAAATGTCAAAGTATCGATAGCACTGTAGTGTTCTTCATAGTTGTTGAAGTACAAAATAATATATTGATTTCTTAACTCAACGCTTAGTGTTACCTCGAAATGCAGCATTTAATCTGACTCTGGGCAACCTATCAACAAGAACTTTATTGACAATGAATGCGTATACACCACCTGCTATGTACAACGAGGTAAGGAATTGTAAATACATATTTTGGTTAATTAATTAATTGGCGTTGTGTGAATCATTCAGTCCTTGTAAAACGGGATTTACTATTAAACGCAGGTACACCTAGCACCAGAAACAAGGGAATTGATCACTCCCAAAAATGCTAAGGCCATTTTATAAATGTTGGCCTTGAAAATGAATGCCCTCGCAACTTTGCAAAAATTAAGTGATTTTTTATTTAATTTTATTATAGGAATTTACAGAATTTGCCGTAAAGGTTCTTGAGGTTAACGAGAGTATTACATGGACAATCTCATGTTGCAAAGTCATCAAAATCAAGCTGACAAAAATAAAATTTACAACAAATAATGATAATTATGCAAACCGTAAAGATAGTGATACAAACCTCAGATCACAGATTGTTATTGTCAAACGACATAAATATAACCTGGTTCTTATTGACAATAAGGAATATGTACTTTTTTCGGAAGTGGGACTTCACGGGTGAAGTGTCTGACCTGAAGTCGTTCTCTTAGCAATGCATCTTCAGATTACAATCCCTCAGAGTCTCTATACACACACTGCCCTTTAAAGTCATGGGTTATGGGTATTCCTTGACAAAACAAGCCGTACTCGAACGGGGTTTTAGGAAGATTACGGGCGACTCAATACCAGTACGTTTAATATAAGACCCAGACAACTTGTTTGATGCTCAAGCCATTGCTGTGGATTTTGATGTTGGGTTTGCTTTGCAGAAATAGGTTATTTACAGGGAGAATTGACAAAATATGTACACCCTTTTTTACAAGCCAATAATATAACATAATAATATGTTGTTGTAGATAATATAAAGTTTCGAACTACCGAATTTTTTTTTTATGCCAATAAGTATAACACGGACTGGCAGTCAGTGATACTTCGGAAAAGTCTGACAGTAAGATAGCCTATATATATTGTATACATTAAATAATTTGCTTTTAGATTTGTTTTTAAACAAATTTTGCTATCGTTTGTTTTCTTGTATTGATAT